GCATTCTGAATCACTCTGAAAGGAGATGGTACTCTTACCTCCATGTGCAAACATTAGAGCTAGCAAAATGGAGTAAGAAACAAAAGCAGGGTATTAAATACACAGATGCTTAATTAGGATCCTTAGAGTTTTATTTTTAATATTAAGCTATTTTAAATATTGAACATTGATGCACTTGAGAACAGATGTGCCTAGATAATTACTGTAAATAGAACTAGTAATAAAAATACCTTTTGTATGGCGTGAAGATTATCTTACGAATTTCACAAATAAACACAGGCAAAACAGAAAACCAGAGATCAGGAAGAATGTGCTTTCTCAGAAATCTACATATTTCTATGAATTTTCTTAGTTTTTTCCTATTTTTCCATCCAGGAATCGTGGGTTCCTGTATGAATTTAATTGTCACAGTAGAAGAATTGTAGGGGCAATTGGATCAATTCTATCTTTGAGAGAAAGCTTGATGATTTGAGCATAGTTCCTATTTCACCTTTCCTATTACTACTAACATACTTCCTGAATAATTATGAGCTCTGTAATGCTGTGTACATGTGATCCATCTCAAATCCAGTAAATACAATGTCTTCAAATTACAAAGAGGATAATTAAATTCTCTGAAGATCACTGGTCTTTGAACAAAGTCACAAAATAGGCTTTGAAATGCAAACCTAATTCTCCTGCCCAGTCAACCATCAGCTTGCAGAGTTGCAGTAGGATTCATAGTCTGATATGATCCAGAAAATTTGAAGTTGCATTTTACTTCTGCTGTTGAAACATGTTCCATGTTTGTGCAACTGTTGGCACTGGCAAATGCCAAAAAGGGTTTCAAAACATTAAATGTAACAATCATGAAGTTCAAAAGCTTTGAAACAGAACCAGAATGTAGCTGTATAATAGGAATAATAGCTATTCCCACTTTTTTCATCTGTTTGCACAACATTCATCTTAGAATATATTTACTAAATAGATCATTATGCTTTTCTAAACAGGTGCATTTTCCCACTTACTATAAAGCCATGTCCAAACACAGTCTGTGCTGTCCTAAACCACCCATTTTCTAGTGTCAGACTAGAAAACATTACCAATGAAGAAACAAGTTCGGCTCAACTTCCCTCCCCATGCTATATATTCCCTTGGGATTCTTGCTACAAGATTTCTCAGCCCCTACATAATTTTTGCTTCAAAAAGCAAAACCTATTTCTTTTATAAGCCATCTGCTCAGTGTGTTAGCAAAATCCATGCAGCAGCTTCCCAGCAGCACCAACACCTGCTAATAGGGGATGGTGTTTCAGGCCGATACTGCCAGCCTGTCACAGCTTCTTATCTCCTCTCTCTCTAATCTTCAGAGTACTGTCTGGGATTATCTCCTGCAAATCAAATGCCCAGCAAGATGGCTTGTTATTTTTTTATGTATCAGCAAACATGCGCTTGATTGAGTTCATCACTGCTGTAAGCATCTTTTATTATGCAGATCAATGTGAATTCACAAGCTATAGCATTATGATATTGACATAGCATAGCATCTCATGTACAATAACTTTTTATAGTCCTCATCACTCCAAACACGCTCTGGGTGAAGCTCAGTACTGGTGTAAGCAGACACCATAGCACCAAGGGTATCCACAGACTACAGGCAGTTACTCTCAACTTAACTTGGCCCCTTTGGTTCAGGCCATGGTTTTGAGCAGCTTTAAGACAGGAACACGTCTGTTTTTAACCACACAAAATATTATTTCAGAGCATCTTTATCTGTTTAGCAATCAAAGCTTGGAGGTTCTTTTTCAAATATCTTCAAGTTCCTGTCTGCTGTCTGCCCCTGTTTAAGAAAGGAAGACTCTCAGAACTTCAGCAGTTTGGAGAGGCATTTCTTTTTGTTGAGCAGCCATCAAGCCAGTAAAGACAAAAAGAAGTGTTTCCACTGTATGAAGACTGTAAGATCAAATGAGACATAAGTTGAAGGAAAGTAGAAATTTATATCTGGAGATGGTGGACAGATTCAAGCAAGAACCCGTATCATAAGGCAGCATCACAGTGATGAGGCAGATGCAAGGTCAGGCCAGGAAGTCAGTCAGCAGGCAAGGATAAGGTCCAGCAATTCCCGGGCAGATCCACAACAACGAGGCAGGACTAAATCTAAGCTGAGGAGCTACACAAGCCACAGCCACAGTGTGACCATACAGACAACCTGCACTCCTCTAGTGGAGCTCCAAGAGCTGAGAACTCAGGGCTGAACTGAAATAGAGCTTCGGAGCCCACGGGTTTGGGGAACTTCCAGCTGAGGCTCATCAGGGCCAGGAGATTTATTAGTACCCTCACTGCCCTCGTATAACAGGCTTTGGAGGAACCTGGAATTTTATTTATTGATTTGATTTGACTTGATGTAGAACAGATTGTAGGATTTTTTCTTTTGTGTTATCTTTCACGAGGAACTTTTGGACTGCATATCTCATACTAGCTTAACTAATATTTGTCTGGATAGGCATATGAGATTTAATTCGGAGTGTAGAAGGAACTTTTCTGTTCAGCAATAGAGTTTTGTTTACCCTTTCAATCAAATCTTGCTTGCTATTTCCAACAGGAATTTCTGGTTCTAGAAAATATAAACAACATGGGGGTTAACTTGCAGGACAGCTAAGAATACCCTGACATAGGTAACATTTTCTACAGACTGGATAGTATCTATTTGCTCTTTTCCTGTAACTTTTACAGACTGAAAATTTGTCTCTCTCGTGTAGCATTCACCAACAGGAACTATTAACAGAGACTATAAAATCAACTGAAATGTGTGGGGTGAGGACTTGTGGAATAGCACACTGTGAAATTATCTCACTGAGTGTATGTGAATTTCCATGCAAAAAATAGCTCATGTCTGGAAAGCTGTTTTATCCCCTTTTAAGATAATGAGTAGGATGCAAATGTAGAACAGATAGCCTGATATTAACCCTTATTTCTTTAAAGCACAGTGCTTCTGTTAAAAATAAAGAGTTTTCCAGCTGATGATCCAGAGCAGACAGTGGCAGATTATGGGTTTGCTACAATCCGAGTCCCATCCTATTCCTATGTCAGACTAAAAAAGTCTCCTTCAACACAGTTTGTAGAAGAGAAATGACACTTCGCATTTTATAAAAAATGCACTGAAATCTGCAGCTCCAGGAAGATTTTACCATTCAGAGTTCCAACCACAGTTACACAGGATTTCAATTCACATTCAGTTTAATTGTTCTGCATTTTACCCTGTTTTGACTCATTTATATATTCTGGTTACTTTGTTCTCATTTGAAAGGCTATGTAAGACTTAAGATGACATGAATTTTGATTACATAAGCAAGAATTGCTTTAACTGCCTTTTCCTCTCTCAGAAAAATGAAGGGAAGAATGACATTCACAGGATTCAACCAAAACTTCCAAATAGCTTAACACTCATTTGTGAGATCCAGTTAGTCTAATAAAGTTACTACCTCAGACTTTTTTCATCATCTAATCACAGAACCACGGGTTTTACATATGAAATAATATGAGTTTTTTCATAACTACATTTTAAGAGGTGTATTTTTATATCAAATACAAGTTATAGAGTTACAATATTAACGCAACCTAAATGGAGATTTTAATCTTAAATATTAGAGACATAAAATGGAGTTCAAAATTAATTTGTTTTCATCTGTGACCAAATTCACCTGTCTATATATTTCCCACAGATAGCAATTATTTTATAGACAGCAGTGAAAGGGAGTGATATATAGGAAGAATATAATGTTTTAAATCTGGAAAAGCAGTAATATACTAACATTATATTACTACTTTTAACAAAACATACAGCAGTAATAGTAATAGTTTTCTAAAGCAACTAGTATTGAAACACTGCCAGGAGAGGAGGCAAACTAGATAAACCTTTAATCTCATTTTAAAATATTATCTGGGGAGAAAAAAGTGATTCTGAAGTATCAGGGACACAGAACTGCCAGATTGTTTTGTTGTTTTCATTTTTTTTTTATTTTTTCAGAATTCTGTATAAGATAGAACTTGCTGTTTCATATCAGTAAGAGCAAGCTTTGAAATATTTATGAGCTAGCAAATATTTAACCCCTCTATTTGTTACGTCTAATGGCAACTCATTGCAAAGGCTACCATTTTCACTCTTATTTGAATTTCCCTAGTATTTTTAATTAGCTTTCTAATAGACTTTTCAGCTTTCTCAGTCACCTCAAAAGGCACAATAAAAACAGCATTATCAAAATAAAATGATAAGTGGAGTTTTGAGTTTTGTATAGTCAAAGTATTCTTTCTGATATTCTTCTTTTGTTTTATATAAATATTTAATCAATAAATATTTATATCACAACAGAAAGCAATACACAAAACAAGAAAAAAAGCTGCCGCCAGAAAAACAGGTTTATTTTTGCCATGTATCACAAATTAAAACTGACTGTAAAAGCAAAAAGAATTCAAAAAGAAATGTGCAAAATAAGTCTGTGCTGCTCATACAGGTGTGGTTACACAGGATCTCTCTGTCCCCACATGACCCAGCTTTTCCTCAAGGTCCCAGCTTTTTGAAGACCACGAGTTGCTCCACTGATGTTTGCAGGGGTTGTCCTGGGCAACCAGATAAAACAAAGAGATTTAAAGGGGCCTGCCCTGACTGTGCTATAGTCTCCAAAATCCCAAGGGAGGGAACTCTGCAGAGTGCCCTGCCCATAGAGGAACACAGCCCGGGGGAGGAGAATCCTGCACACTTTTAGCAAATCCTTTGATACAACTGCTTGTTGTAGCAAACAAACAAGACTACTACAATTGTACTTTACACAGGCATTGCGTGTTTTGCTTCAGACTATGGATTGTAGGGTTTTTTACTATAATAGATAATATTAATATAATTTATGTTTTCTTATGATCTCATTGGATTTTTATGTCCAAGAAGTGATAGTGACAACATTACTGAGTGATTATGATTTATTATTTCAATTATGGTAGAAAACAGAGACCTCATTCAAAATTAGGCCCCCATTGTGATGCAGCTGTCCAAACATATATTAAAAGACTGCATCTGGACCAGAAGTCTGCAAATTACTCCACTCAGAGCCATGGGAAAAGACAGCACCACCCATGGAGCAGACACAGGCAGGGATGAACCCGGACTGTGCATGCATCGTCCAGGTTGTAACAAAATCACAGGTTCTCCCAGTCATAAGCAACACCTTTTCTCTCCAAATGAGATAGGTTACCATCTCCTCCTATTTTCTTTCTTAAAAGACCATATTGCATATTTTCCTGTTGCATGAAGCAAGTTCTACAATTCCTCTATTACTATTTTATCTGTTCTTCTTTCTTCTGCACTTGCATGTGCTCCAGTTCTCCCAGGTTCATTTTCCTCTGTGTACCATTTTCAAACCTCCTTCTCTTCTGTCTTGCAGTATTTCTTTCCTTTACCATGCTCTCCTCTCCGTGGCAGGGTGAAGCTTCCCTCTCCAAGGGGTCCTGCTGCTCTGCCTGAACCTCCTCCAGCCTTTCTCCTCCCTCGTCCCTTGAGATCCCAGCTACCATTGGATCGCTGCTCTCCAACACCACTGGAACTTTCAGAAGTCTCTTGCTTCACCTGGCTATCTAACCCTGAGATTTGTGGATGAAAAAGCACTGCGTAAATGGTAAGTATTGGTATTGATTATGTTATTAATATTTGCATGTTAAAGGATCAATATAGAAACTATTTAGCTCCCCCTTCAAAAAGCCAGCAAATAGAAAAAAAATATCCTTCCCTCGTTCTCCACAGGGGAAGTGTTTTAAACTGAAGGAGAGCAATTGCAGCCTGGATTTAGCATTTCCAAGATATTACAGGAATAAATTATTTACCTAAGAGAACCATTTCTAACATGTCTTTTGTGCCCATTCAATATACCATGCCATGCTAACTTCGATGGAGTGGATATGGCTAATTATACTCTTGTCTCTTCAATAAATTGATGAAATTTTTATGAAAACCATGAAAGAGAGGATGCAACAAAGGTATTTTCTTTGAGATAGTTTATGAGGAGTTACAGGCACAAAACCTGAAAAACTACCCAGGCCCAGTGTTGCAGGTGACGTCCTGGTGTCACTGATGGCCAAACTTCATCAGAGTATGAAGAAACCAAGATTCCATTTGACACTTCACAAAAATAGTTTCTCCTCAGCAATGGCTTTTATGGCCTTTGCCTCTGCCTGTGTGTGCCAGGGGATCAGAAACCTGGTTTGTCTTTTCACTAGTGACCAGGAAGGGCTCTGGCTGATTTAGACATGCCTGCATCTTTGTTCAACACTAGTAGTGAAAATAAGATCTAATGTACCAAATATTTGGAGGAGGCAGGGATGCTAAACACTGTGCTGCTGAATGCCATTGGTTTGTGAACTCCTCTTACAAAATAGCAATTCTAGTAGTAAATCTGCAGTACAGTAAAGGGAAAGAGCAAGTAAATGGAAGAGAGTGGGAGAGAGAATGAAGGTGGGCAAAAGGGATAGAAAAGGGGGGAAAGCAGAGTGTAAGACTAAAGGCATATTAAGTCTTTGGGGTACAGAAAAGGACATTTCTTGGGGAGGAATGGAAATATTTTTTTAGCAATATAAAGAAGTAAAACCAGGAGGAACAAAAAAAATATGTTTAAATCACAGGATAACTTTTACTGTGATAAAGTAGACTGAAGGGAAGATTTCTGAGGGGAGATATCAAAGGACAAAAAAGCAGCTATTTCAAGTGATCTACACATAAAATCCCATCACCTCTGAGTTAAAATGTTGCACCTGAGCATAACAAAGAAGTGCAGACGTTATCTCTAAGGCATCAGATTTCTATACATCCTCTGTTAAAGACCCTAATTGATTGTTTTTACCAGAAATTATTCAGAAGCAATTACAGTATTGGAAATGAGAAATTCTTGAGGATAATTTTTATATGTATACATTTACTGGTCTTAATGTATTACTTGGGAAAGGATCTACTCTTTGCACAAAATGGAATGGAACTCTTTCTTGTAAATGTAATTGTTAAAATCAGACTACTTAATACCAATTGCAAAATACCACGTGCAAAAACTGTATTTCACATGGTTACCATCTTTTAATATGGATTAAAACAATAAAAGTTTCACTGGAAGCTCTACATTTATTTCAACTACTATTAGAAAATTACCTCAGCATTTCAGATGTGAAACTGAGCTAAAAGAAAATCTGGCTTGGACTAAATGCAAATGGAAGTCAAAGTTCTCTGTTTCATGAGATTAAAAAAATGCTTGAAAACATTCAACTTCCCTTTCTTGGTGAATCAGTCATGCATCTATCAAATATGCAGAATATCTACCTATATCAAAGCACATTCTGCCAATGGCTTCCCAGACTGTGGAGCTGAGAGGAAAAAGCTTTTACATTGACATTTACATTACAACTACTTGAAATAATCACTTCTTTATGCTAATGAGGATTAATATGTTCTACTTGGCTAGCACCATAGATATTTCTTCTAGCTTTGTCAGTCAAACATAAGCCAAAAGCAATCTAAAAATAGTAAATTAACTTTATAGACTGGTTTATTGGCTGCTTTTTTTCATATGCAAAGTGGCTTTTACTGTTTTCAATACTGTTTTTCAATAGATTCACACCTATGAATACGATACTATAATTTTTTTCTTATTATTTCTCCTAATGAAAGGTTACTGGTCTAAATGTTCTTTTTGAGATTTAGCTTTCTGGTTTAAAAGTGTGAGGAAAAGGCACTGCAGACACATGTGATTAAAGAACATCTACTGAAACTCTCTGAGCCTGGAATGACTCCTCATTCATGGCACGAGCAGTAAAAAGAAATCAAAAAAAGACACTGAGAAGAAATTGAAGCATTGAAAGGCTCGAACTCTGGAAATACCAGAAACTACTGGAAAAGAGGCAAGAACTTCAGTGTACATCTGAAAGCAGTAAGTGTTTATTAAAGCAAGTCTATCAGAAGGAGGTTTCCCTCTGGAAAATAGCAAGCGCTGATGCATTTGGTGTATTTAACAATTCTCAAAAACACAAGAGAAGGGGGATATTCATGAGGCTGTTACAAAAAAACGAGGGGTATTGCAGTCTAAATAAAAATGAAGCATATAAATGTTATATGCTTTGATCCTGAAGGTTTAAAACTATCTTGTACGTTATAAGATTGGGGTGACAATTTTATCTGCTAGAGGTGTACGACAAAGCATGACATTAACCTGCCCTAGGGGGAGAGCTGGTGAAGATTTGTAGATTAAAAAAATACTAAAAACACCCTTAAAACTTTAAAAAGCAGCTGGTTTTCAACAGAAAGTGGAGCAAATAATACAGAAATAGACTCCTGGGAGAAGCAGACTCTAGATGAGGCAATTTAGAAGCTGCCAAGGTACTAGTACTTGAATAAGTGTTGGACTGGACAGTGCTCTGAAACCTTAGATATTGCCAAGAGCTCAAAATACCGTAAGACAGAGATGTTAGAGGCAGAAAAGCACACAGATCTTGAACTCATGATCAAGGAATAACAACACAACTGAAGTAGATGGAGGATGCTGAAAAGCAAAAGCTTGTATTAATTTGACTGTAAGTGCCAGAGGTCTGAACCATGAACAAACTGCATGTTGCTGCCTTGGATGCCTGTTTTCTTTGGAATAGAAGACACTTGCAGCAAAAGATGAGAGCAAATGGGACATACTACCTTCAGTTAGGCATATGTGCCCAACTCCCAGTTTCTAGAACTGGGCTAAGAGAAAATCAACAGGCTGTAGAAAGACAAGTGGGTAAAATTAAAGGTTTATGAAAGTGATTTTTTTTTCTGTTTTAAAAATATGCTCCTAGAAACAAATAATAAACCAGGAAAACCATCTTAGATTGTTTTCCTATTTTTAGATGGCACTACTAAAGATACTACAGCAGAAGAGCTGATTACACATTAAGAACCTTTTTATCTAGACTTCTTTACCCAGTACTGTAATATGTGACAGTGGGACACAATTTACAGGACATGCATTTGAGCAGAATACAATAAAGCTTAGATTTAGATATGTGACTACTAGTTCCTCATCATCACTCACTTATTGGGTGCAGAATATGTACAAAACTTGGTGAACTCTTTGTGTGAACTCTCCTAGTTAGAATTAAAATGACCTTCAGTTAACCTAGCTTATTTCACTTCCAAAGTGAGGTAGGCTACATTGAATTAAGGTCATTTTTAATTCTGAAGAAAAATAGATACTGAGGCATTTAACATAGCTTAGTCTACTTTAAATTAGCAGCTGTAATTAACTTGGAGATCTCTGTAGAAAGACATAAGAAGATAAATTAAAAAACACCACTACTTTTGTTTTTAATCTTCTTTATTCCATAGAAGGTAAGTGATTCAGAGTCTCAATATACGTAAGAACAAACAATCATCAGTAAAATATTGGTCACCTCTCAATTATGGTAAGCATGCAGATAACTAAGTCAACTACCCTGAAACTGGTTTACTATCAGTTTTTTTAAGAGCTATGCATTTTAAAATAACTTTGACTAGACAAGAAGTCAAATTTCTATTCAAATCTCTGACTAAATGAGAATCTAATGTCAGACAACTATATCATCAATTTTGATTTATGTTTCATTCCTTCTATAGTTCACGTGCAGCAAAACAAATATATTGCTAAATTACTAAAAATACAAGACAAAATGTGCATTTGTTTGTTTGTTTGTTTTCCTCTACTCAGTATGTACAAAATCAATTTTTCAGAAGTGCAGCAAATCAAGATAATGTAAAATATCTTGCTTTTCTTAGGCTGAGCAATCTATCATGGACTTAAAAAACCTGGAACACCTGTGTAGAACAGCAAAGAACTTAGAGAATCATAGAATTATTTAGGTCAGAAAAAGGCCTTTAAGATCATTGACTTCTCTTGATGCAAATAAGGAAATTTTTTAAATGAGCCTGATGCCAGCCAGATACCCACAAAATGATCACAAAGCCAGTTACAGAGACAGGTCAGTATGAATTTTCTGTAACAGTAATTAGGAATTTCTTCTGAATCACAAATTTGCAGGCAGTATCTTCTACAAATATGGAATAATCTGCAGAACAGTTACAAGCAAGTGACCAAAGTGCTGCCTGGCTGATATGAAGAGACTACACCCACTGAGCCCAATGATCGTGGGAGATAAAGGCTGAGAACTGAGCAGCTGCACTTGCCCACTAAGGACGTCTGTAGTTTATCTCGGAAAAAAACACGTCTACTCAGCAGGACGTTGATCATAAGACAGCACCTGCCACTTCCTATGACTGAACATGTAGTCACTATCCATAGAAAATTTGATAAAATGCTCTCTTGTCAAGGGGCAATACTGACGGCAAAAGCATAGTACCAGTTTCTTTAAATAAGTTTAAAACATCAGGAAAAAACCCCACCTTGCAACTTTAGGGCTCTTGAGAGGTTTGTGGTGAACTGTAGTTAAAAATCAATAAGGAAATATATAAATCCCTTGCTTTTATATTTACATGGGGTGTTTTTGATCACTGGCTACCTTGGGAAACATTTGGGAAACATCCCATGCCAAGACGGAAGGGTGGCAGTAGTGAAGTGTTGGCTGCTGGTGTAAACTTTCTTTGGAGCTTTTTACTCTAAGTGTACCTAGCCATACTGAAGGAAGCCCAAGTTGCCCTTAATTAAGACTCCCTCCTTTGAACCAAAATGTCCCTCAAAATTATGGTGTTTGGAACACTTTCCTGAGGCTCCAGATTCCATTTGGATTCCCAGTTGAAGGGCATTGAAGAACATTTTTCAGATCTGGCAGAGAAAGTTCTTGGCCAAGCTGCTTTAATTTCATCTTGGATTCAGGGGCTGACAATCTCAGATATTGTGGAAAAGCCATGTAAGACCTTTTACTCTCTAAGCGGGTGGGCCCTCGACAGGACTGAATTTGGCATCAATGGATTTGGCCTCACCTGCCCAAGGCCGTGGTTTATTGCTGTCTGTGTAGCTGCTGTGAGGAGCAGGGGAAATCGCTGTACTCCTGCTTTCAGCCTTTCCCTTAGCACGCCTACATGACATAAGTGATATATTCTTGGCAAATCTGAAATTATGCTGCAGTGATGAATATTCCTGTTTCTGGGTCAGAAGCTGTAAAATTTGGAAAATATCTTCCATGTTCACAAAGAGATACATATGCTTCTTGGCACGTTAGCAACCTGCTAGAAAAACATCCCACGCTGGCAGAGCAGGGGTTAGCTGAGAGCGGGAAATGTGCCAGGAGCCTGGAACAACCCGAAAGGAAAACAAAGAGTTAAGTGCCAAATATATCAGTCTGTTTAGGAACAGAGAAGGAGGCTGCTAGGGGTATTCAAAAATGTAGGAATGTGGGATTTGGGGAAGAGCAGTCTGATGGTATTCAAACCCTGCAGTTTACAGGCACTGCTGCAATGGTAAGGCAGGCTGGCCATAAAAAGAGAATTACAACTAAGGCAGGTACATATTCGTAACCTGAGCAGAGCCTACGCCCTCAGGGTAAGAATTATTAGTACAGACGGGCAAACCCATCAATCTGTATATGCCAATCCCTTGCAATGCAGGCACACCTTAAATGCCAGAGAAGAAAAAGAAGATGCGTAATGATTTAAATTTAGTGACTTGTTTCAAATGTGTATTGAAAACAACTGCTGTAGTTGCTAGAGAAATGCTGCTATCTCATCTAGAAATCAGAATTATTATGGAGTGAAATGATATGTGGCTCCAGAAGTCATTACCATAGGAACAGGTGATTTCTATTAAAAACACGTGAGAGTCTTTGATCTAGCAGAAATTTATCTTTTCTGTCCTGAAATGATCCTCTCATTTTTAGTTCTAAGTCTATGTAGAGTAAAATATGTGAGTTTCATGAGGGAACTATACATCCGCTACAGAGCTTTCAGCTTTATCAGAGAAAAAGACTGGTCTTACTAGGATATTCCTAATTGATATTGTTGATTCCCAACAAATATATAGAAAAGTGGATGAAAACCTGCTGAGAGTCACTGAAGCTCCATCATTAAATGCACAGAGTTGTAAAACTGCTGAGCTGAGTATATTTTTTAAAATCTCATACAGATCAGCAAAACAAATGGAATTTGAATTTTTTTAGATTGCACTCTCAGTGAAATATTTTAACATACCCAAAGAAAACATTTTTCGTATTTGCATGATTTGATTTTTTAATCAATTGTCTTGAAAGAAAGAAGACAAACTACTTTTGTATGAGCAGTGATATGAGACATTTCAGCATAAAAGGATTTTATATAAGAAAATTAAGGCAACTGAAGATTAGGGCTAGAATAAGAGTTGACAGTCTGAATGCTAAGTAATTATATATACATAACATCTATAATCTATACTACATTAGTATGCTCTGCAATCAATGAGTATTAACTTGTTAATATAGCATTTGTGTAAGTGGTGTGAATGAGAATACAAATGTCCAGCCCTAATTCCTTGTTTCTGTTATCTTTGCTGAGATGTGTAATGCCAGGACCGTGGAAATGGTTCATTTATTGTTTCACAGCACAGTTGACTTATATTTGTTATGTTTCTGATTAGGAGGGTGCTTGGGTATAAGCATTTATGCAAATCCATCAGTGCTCCATGTGCATTCAGAGCACGTGCTTACTTAAGAAGCAGTGTCATTGCATTGGTGCACATATATATATGTGGTGCTGGATGTGTATATGTAGGATTTTGCTGGAATACATGCAATGACCAACTGATCCGTGCCCACTAAATCCCAAAGGGCAGTAATGACTATTGGACCTTGGGGGATCCCCACATGTGCAGCCTCTGCAGCATAATTGGCTAGCGAAGGGATGAGCTGTAAAGACAAGAATATGCTAAAGAGGCTGCAGCACATCTCATTTGTTAGTGATGCTGCTGCTGTCTTCTCAAGGATATCAAAATGCCTGTCAGCACCTGGATGAAAATCAGCTGACTCAGACTCAATCTGGCCAAAACGAAAATGATGATGGCTGGAGCGGGGAAAATGTTTAAAACTGGGATAAGATCTTCACCTATCTGAGATAGCATCTTCAGATATTTATTTAAACTCTACAGCATCTCAGATTTCTGTTTTTTGTCACTGTATGAGTGATCAAGATGATAGATGACAAAAGTACCCTGTCCTTTTCCCATGCTTAACTTCTCCTCCTGGTACAGATCTGGCCATTGCAAACTACGTGCCTTTGCTTGGCAGTGAATTACCACTTAATCACTGAACCTCTGGGTAAGTGCCTAAAGAACGCACAGATTCCAGCTTTGGCAAAATGGGACAGCTCTCTTCAACACTAGCAGCTTCACCGCCTCCAATGGTTTGCAGGTTATTTCCTCACCATGTCTACATCTTCTTTCTGATCTTCAAAGCAATAAAGACCTGGCTTCCTCAGAGACTGCTTCTTTAATCATAGCACAGGTACTCCCCTGAAGCAAGTAGTTTCACACAGATCAGGATAATGCAAGTGTAAAGGTGAAGAAAATCAAGAGAAAGTCCCTTAACTGAAAAGTTCATTGATCAAACCTCAACCTACAAAACATCAAGATAATTCTGGTTAGTGTTCCCAAAACTTTGCAGCTGTATAATCCAGGCTGTTTGTACAACTGTCAAGGTAGAGCCACACGCTGGCTAAATCTGCCCAGTGTTCACATACAATGTACTCCACTGTACAGTCTCAGGAGACTGGAAAGTTCCTAGAAGTATGTGCTTTAGTGGGCATTAATGTATGTGTATAAAATCCTGTCTTACAGAATAAGGAAATTCAGTATTGGGCTGTGACAGCATGTGCTTCACAGGCAAGCAGCCCACGATGTTGGGAGAGGATTTTGATAGCCCCTCTGTGAAGGATGATAGCCTGGACGGCTGCTGCCACAGCAACTCCTGCAGCCTTGGGGAAAAAAGGCTGCCAGAAACATGGGTATGACATACATTGTCCTGGCAGAATATATAGTTTGTGATCCATAAGATTAGCACTTCTGCTCTCCACTCTCCTCACATAAAATAGAGCCTTTTTTTTAATAAGCATTTCCTTCCAGAGCTAAAACGCTCAAAGTGTTTCATATGGTAAATATATAAAGAGAGCTATCATCGACTTGAAAGTCACAATACCGCTTGAAAATGCGTAGCTGTAGCTATTTATGATGGGTGGCAGCTAAAGGGGGGGAGGAAAAAAATTTTTTTTCCTGGCAACCCGCTTACTTTCTACGGTTTTTTTTTCTATAGTCTGATGAGCCACGTAAAAACAGTCAGTGAACAGGCGGCAAGTGCGAGTTCCCTCCCGTCCGCCCGCGGGGCGCGGGCCCCGGCGGGTGTCCCCGGGGATGCTCGGGGGCGCGGGGCGGGCGGCGCCGCAGGGCCGCGGCCTCGCGGGGTCACCTTGGGCACGGCGGGCTCGCCCTCGCCGCGGCCCCGCGGGCGGGCCGGGCCTGCCCTGCGGCAGCGGGGGCGCTCCGGGGCCGCCGCCCGCCAGGCCCGGGCTGCGGAGGCGGTCGGGGAGGCCGCGGGCCCCCGCCGGCCCTGCCCCCGCGAGGAGCCGCCGCCGGGCGGGGGACGCTCCCCGGGGCTCCCGCGGCCCTCGCCCCGGGCCGGCCGGAGTCGCCCCCGCCCGAGGCTGCGGCAGCGGCCGGGCCGCGGTCGGGCCGTGGTCGGCGGCGCCCCCGCGGGCGGCGCAGCGGGAGGAGGCGCCGCCCCGGCCGTCATTTCCGCCGAGTGCGGGGCGGGGGAGGGGGCAGAGCGCTCGCCTCCTCCTCCGCGGCGGCCGGAGACACAGAGACCCAGCGCGGGGCCAGGGCAGCTCCGCCGCCGCCGCTGCCGCCGCCGCGCCCGCGGGCCGCGCCGCCCCGCCAGCCGAGCCCGGCCCGGCCTCCGCCCGGCATCGCCCCCGCCCCGGCCCGGCCATGGGGAACGCCGCCACCGCCAAGAAGGGCAACGAGATCGAGAGCGGTGAGTGAGGGGGACCGGCCGCCGCCTCCGCCCGCCTCCTCCTCCCGGCGCCGCTCCCGGAGGAGGGCCCGGGGCCGGGCCCGGCGCGCCCGCCCCGCGCCGCCGCAGGCCCCGCGGCCTCGGGCCGAGCCCCCCCGCCCCGCCAGGCCCGGCCCCGGCCCGGCGCGGCCTGCGCGGGGAGCCCGCCCGGCCCCGGCCCCGGCCCCGCCGCGGGGGCTCGCGGAACCGGCGGGGCGGGCCCGGCCGAGGCCGGCGCTGGCCGCGCGGCTGTCCCGCAGCAGGTGTCCGCGCCCGCGCCGGCGGAGGAGGAGCCGCGGTGTCGGCGGGCAGGTGCCGGCGCCTCCGCCTGCCTCCAGCCTCCATCCTCGCCCCGGCCCGCTCGCTTTCCCCACCCCCGAACACACCCTGCCGGCGGGGGAGGCCTCTCGCCCGCCGCGCTCCGTCTGCGGCGGGAGGGTTTTCATCTCGCTGCGGGGAATATAGGTCAGAAACTCGTGTGCCCGCCCGCATCGTGCAGCCCCGCTGACCCCGCGGCGCG